CCTCCACCCCAGCCAAGCCAGGTGGAACACAGACCAGACTTGGCACCTAGAGATGGAAAAAGCATGTGAAACTTGACTAGTATGAGAGAGGGAGGTACATGCCTGGTGCCAAACATTGCCATCTCATTGTCTCTTCTTTGCTTGGCAGGCTGTTTATTTCCTACTGTCTGGCATGTAGCTCTAAGTTTGTGTCAGCTTATTTCTCACTTCAGCTTAAACATCCAAAGTGACCCATCTTCCTTTTCGTGTCTTTTTATATAAAATAAACCTCACTAACTGTTACCCAGGGGAGGTTGATCTTATAAAGACTTTATGCGAGAAGATCATCAGGTTTCCAGAAGTATAAAGGAGTGTTTGACATTTCTTAGAGTCCTGGACTGTCCTGCTTCCTGGTTATCAGACAGTCCTTCCTCCTGACTATATCCCTAATGCCTGCATCTGAGCATTTGCAATTCAGGCAATTACTCCTAAATTCCTGAATGCTTGCAGAAGCAAGGAGCGTTCAGAGTGTGCCTGGAAGACAGGCTGCCTTTTTTTGACCCTTAGCTGTGTCATGAGAGTCCAGAGTGCCTGGTGGTATAGGTTGCTAGTGTGGCAGCTGACCTGGCCTCCAGATGTCCCTTCAAAGGGTTGCATCTCTCCTGTACATCTTGAATCACTTGTTGGGACATTTTATAAGGTGTTACACAGCCTACATTCAGCACATGAGTTGGTCCCACACTACTGATGTTTTCTACTTTTCTTTGCTAAGCTGCTGCTTAGATGTTATTTTCTACCATGTGTAATGTTATTTTAAACTGCTTAGTCTAATAAGGCCCACATAAGATTAAGTAATACATCTATTTCTTGTTGCTTGTGTTGAGCTACAGTTTCTTGCAAATTAACCTGTTTGCAATAGGGTCACACTGCAATACTAGTAGCAGTCCAGCTAGTAACAGAGTAAAACTTAAGTATTTGTGTTAAAGTATTACAGTATTCTGTGGTATTTCTGGTGGGTAGGTTATTGCCACACGGTGCATTGTTGGTCCGTTCTTGTACATGGGCACTGTATGGCAGATGTAACGGAAAGCTTCTACTTCTCTGCTATTTGTATCCCACTTGTATCTTTTGCTGATAGTGCCCTTCTTGGAGCAGCAGGGAGTCTGATCTTATCTGTTCTGCAGGTGGAGCCTTGCCAGGAGACTGAAGCAGTTACTGCTGCTGTCCACTTAACTGGTTTCATTTCGCAGTGCAGAGGGAAAACCTTGAGCAAGGCTTCGATATATTGAAAACAAAAGAATGAACAAGTACACATCTAAGATCCTGGCTGTATTTTCACAAAGGAGTTATGTTGCAGATTCTTGACCTCTTTTTGTGTCAGTAATGTGAACAGGTATCTGATGTCTCATACTAACACAGTTACCATGTGGTTCAACTGCACTTGGGCCCTTGAGCCACTGGGCAGAAGATGCAAAAGCACAGGGAGAACTGTGGTGGGACTGGCTAGACTTAGGACTTCAGTTCTTCTCTTCACCTTGTCTTGTTCTTGTCATGTTTTGCCAGTGGGGTTTTTTTTTGCATTTAATTAAGTGGGACCCCTGGCACCTTTTGCTTTCCAGGATGTATCTGGTTTTGGGGATTAGCACTTTTATGCTTTGTACATTTGATATTCCAAGCTGCTGATGATTTTAGACAGAGGCTGCTTTACTTCAGTGTTGCTGGAGATTGCTTGCAATGTCAGTTAGCAGTGCTAATTCTTCCACACTGGGAGATTCCTTGAAGAAGGAGAGGGCAATTTCTGCTTAATGCAGGCTCTTTGTCTAACCCCTCTGTTATCTGGTACCTCTGTCTTGATTAAACACTAACCAGTTTGCCGGGAGACTCCCACTGCTGTCTCACAGTGCAGTGCTAATAGAGCAAGTAGGGAAGAATTGAGGCAGGAGAAAATGCACGTGCCTCAAGTTTGAGGAGCACAATCAAGCCACAGTCTCTGCTGACTTGCTTCAGCAACAGCAGTCGTGTTTAGGATGTAGGACTTGGTTGACTTTTAAAAGCCAATTTTAAATAGCTTCCAGAACTTCTGCAAGGGAATCTTCAAACTGTTCAGTAACTGGGTGAAACTATATGTCAGTATTTGAAGGAGATTTCATGGTGGTAGTTAATTTTTTCCTTTTGGAGTGCTCCTCTGTGAGGAGAGTATTCCTGACCCACTGTCAGTGGCAAGAGATGGCAGGATGCAACACAACAGCCAGCCTTGCCCTGGTCTATGTACAGACATATGGTCTACATAACATGCCATTTAAATAAGACCTGTTTTGATCAGAAATCCTGAGGTATACAGAAATAAATCACCTCCTCAAGGAGCTGAAAGCAAACAAGGTTAATATTGAAAATTAATGCGTTGTATTCTGTAGTGGCTTTGCATTGATGTTAGGAATAATAAATACAGCATCTCTAATGTTTAGTTACATGACCCTTGCTATTTTCCTTTGCTTGAATAGCTGTGTAAGAATTGCCAGCTTTGGAAGCCTGAATTATAAAGCAGCTGTGATGGATAATTGACCATTCAACTTTGAGAATGGAGCTTCCTACCATTATAATTAATTTCTATAGGCATCCACATGGCTGATTACTAGATTAACCAGTGGCCTGAGGGTGCTAATGTGTTACATTCAAACTCAGCTTCCTTCCTGGCCTTTAATACAAACATTTAGATAAGTACTAAAAGGATTTGTGCAAAGCTCCAGAAGCGTAATTGAAAATAATAATTAAAAAAAAAAGTGCCGCTATAGTGTATCCTCCCTGTAAAATTTCCAAGGCATCAAACGTAGTGATGTTGGTTTGGGTTTTTTCTTTTTTAACATGACTGTAAAATGGACAAAAAAGGAGAACACCTGGTTTCAACCTAAACTATAACAGTGATTATCTCTCACTGCAGAGATTTTAACAGTGCTCAAAGCTTAACTTTTCCACACTGGACCAATTGCAATGAAGGACTCGAGCATCTCCTTGTAGGGCTAGTCAATATTCAACTCGTAAGTGCCTGGCTTTGGGAATGGAAGACAAGATCCTACTTTAGACAGCTGGGTCTAAATGCAGGATGGGGAAAAGAGTTGTATCCAAGGTTAGGCACATGCTTTGCAGGAGTTAACTGCCTTCAACAGAAAGGATGGAAGCTGCAGATCCACCCACAGCAGCCTGTAGGTGGATGTCCAGTGTTTTCTGCTGGAAGCCGCCTCTGAATCTCCTTCAGCCAGAGAGATAACTGCCCAGGGTCAGTCATTTCCTGGGAGGCCCTGGCCGCTATGCCATGATGTGAATCAAAAGCAACTAATGCTCAGCTTTGTTTCAGAAGGAAAAGCCCCTGAATTTAGTGAGAAGTTTGAAAGTGTCTGCTACATCAAGAAGGAGCTCCTGTGGGGACCATTGTGCAAGTCAGCAGCTGAGCAGTACATTTACATTTTGAAGCAGTTCTGTGCAAGGGCAAAAGGGCAAGCCTCGGCATATATGATAGTTTAAACACTTTAGATGTTACCAGAGTTGGAATGCACTTGTCAAAATTGGGTTTAAATACCTGAATAATAATCATTGCTTTAAAACCATAGGCCTTTTCCTGTATGGGATTGTTGATGTGTCAAAGATGGTGACAGCACCCTATAAAGAATGCTTGTGAACTCAAAGGTGGGAAAGGTGGGATATATCAGTCCTGTGCAATATAATCTGTGTAATACATTCTCATTTGAATGTAATCTTTTGAAAAGATTCAGTTTGGTGACCTGGAACAGAATGGAAAGTTAGGATGCCCCCTCTCCCCAAAATGTCTGTTATTATCTCCTCTGCTGATTTTACAGATAAATTATTGATATTTGATGTAGTTCTTAAAATGGCAGCTTGTTCAGTTGCCTGTTTGTGAGAGAAATAAGTTATTTTAATAGTAATCCTTTCTGGTTGTACGGAAGAGCTTGAAAGTATGATTGGAGTGTGTTTGTTTTTCTTATAAGCTTGTTTTAAATTATTGAGAGGTTGGATTCAGCTGTGCAGAGAATGATACTTGATCAAGACTTTTTATAATATGTGTTCACAAAAGGGCTGAAATAGTGCCATGTAAATCTGGCACTGCTTAACTTTCTCAGATGCTGAATTTTACAAGCTAAATACTGCTGCTTTACATAGATTTTGTATGCAACATCTTTAAAAAGATTTGGAAAGGTTAAAAAAAGAGCTATTTCCGTTACATGCATTGGTAATAATTCCCTTATCCATCTTTATCAGGGTCTTGACCACGATTTTTCAGTACTGCTCCACATACCAAAACCACTTGAGTTACAGATGGATACACAGCTTGCTAGTTGAGAGGAGGTCCGGACTGAACAGAGAGGACCTGTGGGGGTAGGCAGGGATCAAAGATTTGTTCAGGGAAGAGATGGCCTTTCCTGTGAAGTCCCTTCTGTTGTGGTTCTCCTATTGTGTACAATGGACAAGAAGCAAGGCTAGTAGGGCTGTGTTTTGAAAAGACGGTCAGAAAGAATTAGGAAGGCCTAACTCTGCTCCTGCACCTTCCAGCCGATAGTCCATGCGGAGTACAGGGCTGTCTGGAAAGGGCATAGCTTTCAGAGGGGAGGGAGTGCTGTCCTTTGGAGGTATGTGATCCTGAGCAGCCTGGGAAAGCAAATGACAGTGGTGATGGCTTGAGAATTCAGCTAAACTGGATTGGAGTTTCCTGGGACAAAGCAAAAGTACTTCTAGAGCCTAAAGGCTTTTTAGTCCTGCTAGCTGCAGTAAGTGGAAGTGCTGATGCTTGTGACCTTTTACTGAGAAGGTTCTTTCGTAACAGGGAGCCACAGGCAGTCTAAATATAGTGGTTGCTACCAGCTTCCCCTGTAATTCGCAACCCTTCTGTTGTTCACTTTTCTGCTTGCTTTCTTTTTATCTCCCTTATTTGTAGGTTTGCTATCCCATCATTATTTCAGTTTTCTTTCTTTTTCTCTGATGAGATCCGTAAAGACTATCTAGATTGCAGCACCAGGAAATCGGATGGGCTTCTAATTCTTAACAAAAGTGTTGCACTTCGTGTGTGTTTCTAGATGCCTTTGAATTAAAGCATAAGTCAGTTTCTAAACCAAGAGCTACAAATAGTTTCTCATTTGGTAACTTAGCAGTACTGTTGAGTGCTGAACTTAAATGACCTCCTCATAAATCTAAGACAAGATTTTAATTTACTCACAAAGGCATTTGGGTGACCTCCAAAGTACAATACAGAAGATCGCACAGATCGCAAGCTTATCTTGTTTATTTGTTTACTGAGAATGACATTTTAATCACAAGAAAAACGGGCTGGAAGGAGTGATATTTTCCAATCTTTAGAAACGAAATTACTCCTACCCTGGTTATAGATCTTTATGTAAAGGCAGACGTGTCCATTATCATTCAGTGACACTAGAAAAAGGCCTTGTCTGAAATCCATAAAATCTTGCCAAAATTTGGCTTCTGATACAGAAAATCAGAGAATGGGACATGTCACTTTAGAACATAATAAATGTATTAACTTCGTGTCTCTGAAGACATTACAGAAAAGCATGAGTCATTTTAGTAATGCAAGAGAAAGTAATCTGGAGAAATCTTAATGCTTGCAAATAGGAAATGGAACCAGAATTTTGATTCCAAAAAATAAAAAAGTCATAATGTAAAAGAGTTATATTCCTTAAACAGAATCAGCCCTGGTATAAAAATGTATTGCTTTAATTTCTCCAGTCTTAAAACTAACTTATTTAAAAATATAATTTAAAATTAGGCATGATGAATTTAAATGTGATTACTTTGACAAACCTAGAGTGTGAAGAAATAATTCACAAAAGCAGCATAGAGAAAATACTTTTGTGTCAGGGAGTGCTGATTAGCCTTATCACAATGCAGACTGTGAGTAAATGAGTACAGAGTGGTTTACTTTGGTTAAAATAGTATTGGCTTGCTAATTTTATATAAAATGATTCTTTTCACAGAAAGAAATCTTGAAATCGGATCTCATTGTCTGCACAGCGGCTGCTGTTCTGTCATTTGCTGTCAGTGCCAGTACTGTGTTTCTATCATTAAGGGTGTGTATCTGTCCTTCCCCTGCCCCACCCCACCCCCAGTATTACTGGCCATGATAACATTTTTTGTGTGCAAGGCAGTTAGTTTATGGATATTTGCATTAATTTCAGTGTTACTTATTTGATGTCTCTTTCCTTAAACCTCTGTATATCCACAGCTCTCTTATGATATGGAACCTGGGGGACAGAATGAATAAGCATGATCACTTGCCTTTTTTTCCTCCAATTAGGGAGAAAAAAATTGGTTAATTGTGTGTGCAAAATACGTATTTCAAAATCCATATCCACCTATGGACTCGGAGAGTTTGAACATAGGAATAAAAATTAATTGCACAAAAACACCATTATAGGAACTGTTAACAAATGTTTAAAACCCCAAGTTGTATATAAAAATGTTGTTTGTAAATTATAACCATGTTTTGTTTTTTCTCTTTTGACCCAGCCATTTCTCAGCATTGTTCTGTTTGCTTTAGCATGGACTGTGGGATTTGTAACACATTACGTACTTCCTCAGCTTCGCAAGCATCACCCCTGGCTGTGGATTTCCCACCCCATACTTAAAAGCAAAGAGCACCAGCAACGAGAAGTGAGAGGTTTGTAATAAAATCTTTTCTAAGCGATGGATGCAGTGACTTGCAGCTTGTCTTGATTAAAAAAAAAAAATACAGAAGGAACAGAGCAGGGAGAATAAATTATGCTTTACATTTCCCTCTTTCGAATAGCATGCCTAGCCCATCATTTCAGTTTTTTCCCTTGGATCACCAGCAAATCTGTGAACCTGTAAAAGTAGTTTCCTCAGACCACTGCACAGCTGGACTGAGGCTGGGCAGGCACATCTGGAGATTGTGTAGTCCAACACCCCTGCTCAGAGCAGGGTCAGCTAGAGCAGGTTGCTCAAGGCTGTGTCCAGTTTTGAATATCTTCAAGCATGAAGACTCCACAACCTTTCTGGACAACCTGTCCTAGCATTTGATCATCCTTCCAGTGAGAAAGGTTGTTTTGGTTTGGTTTTGTTTTGTTTTTCTTACCTTGAAATGGAACTTCAGTTCATGCCCTTTTCCTTTTGTCCGGTCACTGGGCACTGCTGAGAACAGTCTGGCTCCATCAACTTTACCCTCCCCATCAGGTATTTATACCACAAAAATGCCCCTAATCAGGCATTAATAAGATGCCCCCGGAGCCTTTTCTTCTCAAGACTAAGCAATCCCAGCTCTCTCAGCCTCTTCTGTGTCAAATACTCTTGTCCTTTAATCATCTTACTGGCCCTAAGTGGCCTTTCAGAAGCCATCCTCTTTTGCTTTTACATTACAGTGCTGTTACTTGCTGTGCTGCTTGATATGTTATAGTTTATGCTTAATGCATTAGCATTTTATATATTTTCAAAACTTAAATGATTGATGAAATTGAGGCAGAATTTTTTCTACTTTCTGACATATAACTATATCATTTGCACAGCAAGGATAGTGCAACTTAGAGTTCTAATTTCCATCATAACACTTTTAGAGAAACATTAAAATTGAAAGGAACTGTGAAATTTTCTTGACATTTGTTCTTGCTAATGCCTGCTGGCTTCAGTGGGTAATGCTCTGATACATGCAAGTATCAGTAAATATTTTAGTATGTCGAGGTCTGATTTCCTGTTCTGATACAGTTATTTCTGCAAGCAGCCAGTGTACTTTGAGAAGCACAGCTTCCCCCTCATCCCCCCAGCTCTCATCTTGCCTTTGCTACCAGCCAAAAGCGTGCTTGTCATTTCTTGATGGATCCTGTGCCTTAATCATTCTCAATATATGTTCCTGAGGTGTTTGAAGACAGTGTTGTCAGAACACAGTCTGCTGAGGGACTTCAGTCTGTTCTTCAACTAGACAACAAAAGAGTTCAGATCACTCTCTGCAAAACCATGCATTAAGGGTTTAAATCTTTTTTTAAAAAAAAATCTGGTCTTCAAAATGATTACTTTCCAAACAAGGACTGAGTATGAAAAAAGTACCCAAGAGACTTGATTGAAGGTTGCCTTCTAGCTTTTACTGCAATGCACCAAGGAAAATGTAGTAGAAATATAAATCTTATTAAGGATCATGCCCAACTGAAAACGTTGTTCAGGGCTTCCTTTCCTTGATAATCAGTAGTTCTGATGAATACCCAACTTTTATTGTTTGTTACATCACTTAATCATAAAAGACTACTGTAGGGTTTCTTTCCCTTTTCCTGATTAAGTCTGTCTTCATTTGTCAGAAAACATCATTTTCTAAATGCAATGACTCGGCTTTTGAAAAGGTTGAGGGTAGAGATCTGCCAGACTGATCTCCACAGATGTGTTTTCTTCTGCTTTGAGATCAGCTGCATTTCCCATGCTACCTGCTGTGGGCAACAGGCTTTTTTCCTTCTTTTGCAGTCCTCATTTTATACGTAGTCCATTTCTGCACTTTGGGGCTTAAATATTATTGCAATGTGTCTGGTGTTGTGTGTTAGAAAACAAGAGTAAAAAAAAATATATATATATATGTGTATTTCAGTCCCTTAGGCTACTGCAGAGGCTTTTTATCATGTCCTGAGATGAGACAGGCTGAGGAAAACGTGATGTAATCCTTTTGATAGATATGTCTGACAGGCTGTCTTTCTTTTACCCTGTAAGAAAAATTTAGGAGCTGAACTTAAAGGTTCCCTGTTTGTATAGGAGAAGAAGCCTGGAAAAGGACAGTATCCTGTAGTTGTCAGGTGTGGACAATGAAGGGACAAGTACACAAAACAAGATGTCTGGGAGGAGCTTTTACTGCATAGAATTTCATTTTCAGCTTCCTAATTTTGACAAATGTAGTGCTATGGGGAGACGAATGATTGCTTGCAGTTAGACGAGCAGCTGGTAATGGCAATTCCACAAGTTTATTCCTGGCTTTGTTTCACAGACTCTGGATGAGCTGTTCAAACTTTCAAGCCTTCCACAGAAAAGCAATTATCAGACCAGTTCTCATGATGCACCTACTAGATAACTCATTTATTACTTGTCACTGTTTTGCCTGGCTGTCAGAAGAAAGACTGAGGTCAACATGTATGAGCTTATGGTATAGTAGATGTGTAGAAAGTAGCGCATGACTGAGTGAAACACCAGAGACTATTTTTTCTTCTCCTTCCTCCCCAGCACTGCTTTTATACCCCACAGATTCATGTAAGCCATTTTCAAATGAGCCATGTCTTTCCCTGGGCCCCCTCTGAATGTGAGCTTTTTTTTTTTTTTTCCTGTCTGCATTGTCTGCACACATCTCTGCTTCTGCGGATACGAGCTTTTTGGTCTACTTGATATGCACATCTCTTTATTCAAGCTTGAGTTCTTACACAGAGCTCAGCTTTGGGCAGCTGGATGAAGTTCTTGAGTGGAACTCTGAGAGCAATTTGTAGTTCAGGATGGGGAGAGAGGAATGGAGAATAACATCTAGGTTCCAAAATGGACATTTCGCTGTGTGAACTTTTAGGAAGTGATCTTTGGGTAAAAAGAGAAGGAAATATTTTTACGTTATAACAAGGAACAGAAGCTAATCATATTTTCTGAAGGCAGATTTTTGCTGGAGCATTGGCTTAGCTTAAGATGCTGGCAAAGCATAACTTAAAGCTAATTTGGAAGGATTGCTTTTAGATCTTTCTCTTTGAGCGTATACAACTGTGTCTGCAGAACGTACAAATCTTGTTGATTCAGCATGTCTTCTTTGCCTATCATTGAAAAGGTGTATGTAGGAGGGTGGGATGTATATATACATGATTATTTTCATTTCCGCAGGGAAGAGTATTGAAATTCAGTAGCTGCCATCGTTATTTCTGAGTCAATACCAAGTTCTGCCTTTTTGCGTTCACTGTTTTTTCCAATAACCTTGCCTAGCTGAGCTCAGTTGAGAATAAAAACGTTATTGTTACTTGTAAGCAAGTGTTTCTGCACCTAGTTCACCTGAGTTCTCAGAGCAGCTGGATTGCACAGAGCATTCAGTTCTTGTTTAATACTCGTATTAAGCATTGTGATGTTGTTAGAAAAGTCTACTGCAAAAAAAGATATTCTTTACTGGTCAGTGATGTGGTCCTGGTAGATAGTTTTTACAATGGCTGTTCAAGTGTTTTGAGAAACATCTATGACAGTTTCTAGCTCCTGTTAATTCTTCAGTCTTTAGATCTCAAAGGATATTTCATTTATCAATGAGGTCAATGATACTTTGCAGTCTAATGAATGGTGTTTTGCCACTATAAGGTGGGGAAGGAGAAGCACAGGGCTCAAATGAGGTTCCTTAGGTCATCCACCAGGTCAGTGCCAGAGCTGGAGAGGGCCTCTCCGGAGTCATTACATCACTAAGAGTGCTATTTAATATAGTGACTTGTAATTGGATTATGTAGAAACTACCAATTAGCGTGTACCATCTATTTTAGTTTCTGAGCATTTCTCATGAGTGTAGTTACAAGCCGCAAAACACATACTCTCTAAATTCAGAGGACAAAATGATTTCTCTGCTGTGAAAGAATTATGAATCCCATTGTTTCATAAATTAGTTGGTTGATTATTAATGTGCGCGAACTCATTTCTCTTACGGTATTGCAGTGCAAAGCATGCTGATAATTGGGTGAAATTGTTATCTGAATTTCTATTTCAGATGCTGCTCATTTGATGTGGTTTGAAAGGCTCTATGTGTGGCTTCAGTGCTTTGAGAAATACATTTTGTATCCCGCTATAATACTGAATGCCCTCACCATTGATGCTTTCTCAATTAGTAAATACAAGAAGCTTGGTACACAGTAAGTAGATTATAACTCAAAGCATATGATTAGTAGACTATTTGGTTTTAGAATGAAGATTGAGAAATGAAATGTATATCTTAACTCTATTTGCTTGTCACAGTTTGCTTTTATGTATTATTAGTTCAGTATACAATATTCATTGGCTCTGCTGAAAGAAAAAAGCAAAACTACCTTAGCACATGCTAAGACATGACTCCAGTGAGAGAGACAGAAATTAAAAGATTCAAGAACTATATATAGGTATATGTGGAATGTCTAAATGTCAATTAAAAGCAAGACACACTATACTAGGCTGCAGGTGTTTGATGGGCATAAACACAGTGGGGTAACCAGAATTAATGAGATGAAAATGAGAGATCTAGGCTGGATATCAGGAAACATTTCGTAACTGAGGATTTTTAAGACTATGGTGTAGTCTCCCGAAGGAGTTATTGGAAGCTTCACCACACGAGTCTTTTAAAGCAAGACTGAATAAAATATTCAACAGTGTAGAATGGGGGGGTAGTCCTGCATTAAGAGAGGTTTGAGAAAGGTAGGGATGTAAGTTTTTTCCAAAGTCTGATGTCTCTGATATTAAGCAGAACTGGTGATGCTGATCTGTGAAAACACAGTATGATCTTTGCAGACAGCCTTTTATGGTAAATATTTTGGTCAGTGACTTGCCTACTGCAGATATTCAGCAGGCTTAGTGACTGCAGTATCCCCAGTGAGCAGAGTTTCTGCAGTCTTTTTATCAGAATGACAGTGATGCAGATAATGAAAACAAAGAAACAGCCTGTGTTCAGGAGGGAAGGTTTCAGTAGCAGGAAAACCTGCTGGAGGAGGGGGAGTCCCTCAGTGTTAATAGTAATTTAGATTCTTCCCTTTAAATGTTAGATAAAAGAACTTTAATGTAAAAACTGCATGTTTTTTTAATTATTATTCTCTCTTGAAGAGCAACACAGCTTTAGGGAATACACAACTATAAAGAAAAGGTGGTCCCTGCTTTTAGGGGCCGAAACTAGGACTAGGGCGTTAGTCAAATTTTCTCCATATTCCTCCCAGACAACTGCTTTTCCAGAGGGTCATTCAGAGGTAGCCTGTGTAGTTCCCCATTGACCTTTTTTCCCCAGGCACTTGGGAGATGCTAAAGCCAAGGTGCTTCAGGAGTGTATTGTCCAGGGTGAAACTGAGTTCACACTCACACCTCTCTTTGGTTCTGGGAGGCTGGGAGAACTAAAAAGTAATCAAAATGTCATTTGTCACTAGTTAGCAGACGTGACTGAATACATGCACAGAGCAAATATGTAGGGTTAGGAAGGTGTTATTTTTACATAGTCATTCCTCCGAGGTAGATTGCACTTTAAAGTATCACCTCCCTCAAGTGTTCAGAAGTAGTGAGTCAGTCCCCTAGACATCTTGAGATTAAAGGGTGTAATTACATTTGTTTGCTTTTGCTTGTTTGGCCTGTAGGGGAATACCATGACAGTCCTTTCCTTCCCTGTCCGCCTTGTGTCTGTGTGATCACCTTGGACTTAAAACCCATGTTTTCTCCTTTTTCTTGTAACTGAGGTCTATCTGCAACACTCCTAGTATCCCTTCTTCTCTGGCACTCCTCTTTAATACCCTGCCCCTACAGCTACCATGTAAACCCCACACACAAAACATTCACCTTCAGATCCTGCCTCTTTCTCTTCAACTCTGTAAGCCTGTGAGGGATCCCAGATTCTCCTTACTCCTTCCATATACAGTGTAACCGAGGGTTGTACTTTCTCAGCTTTAATATGTAAATACCCGTTTTCTGTTGTTGGAACATTCCTTAGTTATTTGCCACCCAAAGATCAGACCACATTGTGCCTTAGAGCAGGTAGGGTGGCACTCCCCTGCTCAGTGTCTGGAATTGTCTGAGGTCGTACGTTTTGCATTATTTGATTTTTGGAGTTTTTCCTCAATTTGAGTGTATTTTTTAAAGAAGCTTCATCTTGCTTTAAAGGACTGAAGTGGTTTGCTTGTTGAGGAGGCAGAACAGCTCCTTCACAGTCAGGAGTTTGCTTGAGCTTTCCAGGCCCTGATGTGCTGGTTATTAGTGGGACCCATACTGACAAGCTGAAAAGCCTGCCCATGTTACCTGCCACAGAAGCTTCAGAAACAAGCACACACACACACGTATCTCTCTGCTGGGAGTTAAGGCCCCAGGAAAAGCTTCTTGTGTGGCAATATCTTTAAAGAAGAGGGATAACTAGCAAATTATTTTCTGTTATCCCTGGGAGCATTATTTTATAAAATGTCATTTTTTTGGTGAAATTTTCGACACGTTAACAGATCCAGTGAGTAAACAGCCTTCCTTTTGCTCTATGATCTCAAGTTTTCTGTGTGAAAATGCCTCCATGTTGTAAGAATCCTCTTCTTTCTGAAGAATGCAAGACCTGACCGGTTCATACAGGACACATTGGAATGGCTTCTAGTGGCTTCAGAGTCTATTTAGCTTAATCGTTAGATTTTCCATTCTGAAATCTGGGGCAAATTGAAAAGAAAAGCTTTGACAGGGTGAGAAATAAGGTCAAGCTTGGCATTTCATTCCAACAGTGGTGTCCTGGTGATGCTTTAGAATGACCCACACTCAAGTAAAGTTGCATCTGCATTATGGAAGATACACAATAATGAATAAATACCATGTAAAATAAAATCAGCCTGGAAATGTACAGACTTAGGAGCCTTTCTATAATGACAAAAACCTTTTTAGCGCTTTCTGGTCTGCCAAGTGTCACTCATGGCAGCAGTTATTCTCCTGGTTTGCAGCAGGATGGAGGAGAACCTTCCATGCATTTTGCAAATAACTGGCCTGCTTTGAGTCAGTCATTATACATTGGAGTCTCCTATCTATTTTCACCAGCATGAAAAAAACCCAGTGCATCTCCCAAAAGGTGAATGTGCTTAATTTACTTAAGAGAAGTCACCTGGCTTTCAGTTAACAGGAATTTCCTTGTACACGTCTATTAAGTTTGGGTTGTCTTTTCGGTATGGTTCTTGGGCATCAACATGCAAAACTGCAATCCAAATATACTTGTTCAACTGTCAGAAAGCTCTGAGGGTACCTAATATCACTAAATACTCCTGAATTTGACTTGGAGGTTCATTAGGAGGCTTGAGATATACTTCTGAACATGCCCAGAACTTTCTGAATAAATCAATTGTCTTATCCTGACTAGAACCCAGAAACCCAGAAACCTAAAGCTTTTGATCTGAAGCTGTTTTTGCAGCATCCCCAGTATGTGATCAGGATTGAGTTCACAAAATACTGCTTTGATTTCCTTCCTTTTAAGAACCTTGATGGAGAAGGTGCCCATTTCATTTAACAAGAGTCCAACTGTTAAGCACTTACTAGGAAACTAGAGGCTTGCTCTTGATTCCTCCTGCTCTGGTGGTAAGGAAATTCTTATAGGAGTGGGGAATCATGTGTTCCAATTCCTACTCCTGACTCTGTTCCTGGGTTTTTAGTGGTGATTGAATAAAATACAGAACGATGCAAGCATCATGGCGTGTAGCCCAGTACTGTGTTGCATCTCAGGGGAGTGACCATCTAACCCAGGTGATCTAAAAAGTAACTTTTCTAGGAGCTAACCCCCAGAATAGGCTGTATTATTGAGATATCAAAATTGCTGTCCAAGCAAGACCATCTTTCTAATTCTGTAAAGTATCTTAAAACCGAAACTTAAAAATATAAACAACCTTAAGTCTGTAAGTTCAAATATATGTCCAGAGACTGGAGTGTTTTTTTTAAATTCAAGGGGTGCCAACACGTTACCTCCATCTTTCTTTCTCACATAGTTGTGCTTTCTTTTCTTACACAGAAAACTGTAGTTTTCTGGAAAGTTAAGAGAGAAACGTTATCTTGGAGATAGAGGAGCGACCACTTTGATTTTTAAAGATTGGACTTCTTGATTTTCTTTGTAGGCACTTACTATTTAGTGTTCTCAGCTTAAGTTCATTCTCTGGAATATACTAAGGGAGAGTAAAATGCAGACTGTATGCGTTTTACAACACATAGATGTAACACACAATTTCTTTTCATGTGATGAAGTAATTACTATATACAATAGATGACCTTTTGATCAAGAAATATGATAAGAATTTCAAGCACTTCATGTCTATGGCTGTTTCTAGGCAGAATTTTGGCATTTTGTGTAATGAAATTAGGAGAATAACTATAAACTGCTTCATCAAGTGAAATTTCTAGTATTAAAAAAAATCCTGGAGTGAGTTCAAGATATTTTTTTTTTTTCAAATTACAGTAATGTATTAATGGAAGTGCCAAGATATTTCCAAAACTAAATTTTTATTTTAACAGCTATATAAAAATATCCTTTCTAGATTCTTGGGGTTTAGTAGTCAATAGTACAGAGTTCTTTATTACAGATTACAAGTCTGTGAGAATGATAAAGGAAAAATATGAAGTTGCACATGGGTATAAAAAATGTGATTATTAAAAGAACATAGGATTAATATCAGAAATCAATAATATGTGTAGATTTAGGTATACATGGCAATCTGGTACAACTGTTTGTATTTAAGAGCTTCATAATGTCATGCTTTATGACTTTGACTTTATTAGGTTTTTCTTTCTGCCTTTCTTACAGCTGTGATATTATCCTGATAACAGTTGCTGGCATGAAACTCCTCCGCTCCTCATTCTGTAATCCTATTAATCAATTTGTTACTTTGAGCTTTACTGTAATCTTCTTCCGGTTTGACTATAGAGACATTTCAGAAAATTTCTTGCTGGATTTCTTCATGATGTCCATCGTGTTTCATAAGGCAAGTTTTATAGCTCCTGTAATTTCTTTGGAAAATGTATTTCATACCTTTATGTTCTCAATGTCACTGTGCTGATCAATATGTGGTAGGATTTTTTAGAAGTATGAATGCATATATAGGCACAGATCATTGGCACTATAGATGAAAAAAATCTGTAAGCTGAAAACAAAGTTCCAGTTAAATGTCATCCCTGGTTTTGTGCAATGTTTTGCTTATACTTCTTCGCATGTTGCTATAGAAAGTTCAGAATTGTTGTTTTCAAGAGGAGAATCCTCAGTGAGTTGGAAAGTACCTCTTGGGTCATTAGTGCAGGGCTGCCCTCCAGATCAATCGCCTGGTGTTTTTATTTAGGTTTCCTTTGAATGCCTCTGGTGTTTGACTCAACAACTTCCTTTGGGAAATTATTCCATTATCTAATCATCCTCATGATAATAAATGTTTTCCTAATGTCAGCCTTAACATTTTTCTTTTCCTATTTTCATTCTGTTATCCTTGTGATGCCGACCTTAACCTTAACCTCAGAGCTCCTTCCTCTCTTTTACGTTGTTAACTCTTGGAGTGTGCTGTAGCTGAATTTACTTTAAAAAAAAAACCAAACAGAACACCATTCTGCATCAGTCAGATCAGATCCTGTCTTGATTTGCTATCTATTCTGTTTCACTGAAAGAAGCAGGTTTAACTGATAACGTAATGAAAGTTGATAAAGTACTGGAGACTTTCCTAAAGCTTTGACAAATTCTTCTGTATTTTGTTTTTAAACTTATTGGTCCCTGATTGCCATAACATAGAATCGTAGAATACCAGGTTGGAAGGGACCTCAAGGATAATCTGGTCCTATGATACAGTTTGTCCAGGGATAAATGTGGTGAGGGGTTTGGTTTAGTTGTGGGGTTGTTTTGTCAGCTTGTTTGGTTGGTTTCTTTTTCTAAAATATTCCTCCTCTATATGCGAGTGTGACCCAGCTAGCACCACTTAATTTCTGAGAGGAGAAAGACATGGTTCCGTATTGACTGCTGCATCTGCTGTGGAGATGCCCAACAGTGCACGCTGAGGTATTTAGCCCCTCTACACAAAGAGCATCAGCTCACACTGCTGTCTGTGCCCACCTGGAAGTTTCAGGCTTCTTAAGGAAAGGCTGAGTTCAATGTTGTTACATTGGGAGTTCCCAGTCTTTCAGGCAAGAGTGAAGCAGAAATTAAATGCTTTTCCTGGTTTGTTTCTGTGCAACTGTAAGGGAGGAAAAGGGAAGAATAACAACTTAGTGAGGGAACTTGGGCTCTTTTTCTCTGAACTCTGGGACCATGCTCCAGCAGGAGCTTCACCTGCTTTAATCCTTCAATCTTCAGACCTCTTGTTCTGCTTTCTCTCTGCTGAGGTGAGGAGGCAAGAGTTGGGGAGGGATGGCAGAAGAGGTGACAGAAAGCCATGCTTTAAAAAGTGCCCCAGCCCCATGCTCTGTGATCCTAAAATAGAGTTAGAGTAATTTTTTAAGCTTCTTGGCTTGGAGCGAAAGATGAGCAGTGAAAGTGATGCAGAGGCTGTGCATTGTGGCAGTTTTCAGTATTTGTTGCATTACCGTGTTCCCTAGAGTAAGGGGTGAACTTCTGTCTCCAGAGAAGATAGTCAGTGATATGCATCAGTGGACATCCCATGTCTGGACAATGGTTTATTTAGCCCTAAAACTCATTCTCCAAAAACCTCTTTACAGGATCAAAAGATCAGCACCACAGAATTGAACATCTCACTATTCATTAATTCTTTGAAAATGTTGACCTTGTGAGCATATCACAAAATAGTGGTGTGGAATATTGGATGGTTTTGGAAGAGAGAAATGTAAAGTCTGTTCAATGGGTTTTTTTGAGGGGAGTTGCTTAGGTTATTTGAAGCTACTGTTTACAGTAGAAAGACTAGTGATAGCAATAAGAATGAGACAGGAAGGATGCATACCCAATTAAACAGAGGTGTTTGCTAGAACAGCTACTACCCTAGCAGACTGAAAACTTGTACTACAGACATGTTTTGAAAATGTAGTTTTAGCATTGATCTGCCATCTTCCTATCTGATAATATCTGAAATTTTGCAGGTCATTAGTTCATCAAGTGGACTTGTCCTTGTTCCACTTTTAAAAATTGAAATTAAACAGGTGATTTTTTTATATTACACTTGAACAGTTACACAATGATCATTAAAGCCAATCTGAAAAAAGCATTGCAGGTGATAGCAATTAAAGACCTATTAATTTCAAATCTTAAAGGGCGTAAGTTTTCTTTACCCTAATTAAGGTCTGAGCTTTAATTAGTTCAATATTGAGGAACTTTAGTAACGGATAAAGATGATGTGTGGTTATTCCATACTATAGGCCCCAAGCAAGCTGTATCCACCCTTGTCCCTAAAAGCTTTATGGGTCTTCACAGATTCTGTCCATCTGTAGTTCAGTCATTTTTATGATAACAAAACCTGAAATAGTCTCTATTAGCATCACCTTTGGCTATGCAGAACTTATTACAGTCATGGCTGATTTCTGCTTGCTTATTGAAAATGTCAACTTACCACCCTCTGAATCAGGGAACACTAGAAGTGCTGTGCCTTAGTCATAGTGATGGTAATTTTTAAGCATGGTTACCCAACAAAAAAGTATTTCATGCTCTCAAAGCACTGTGGTAGTAAAGCATTTATTTTCTTCTGCCAGGCACTGGGGAAGAAGGCTTCTAAATCCAGCGGACATTCACAACTGCACTAGTGACTCTTGGAGCAGATTATGTTGAATAAAACTTTGGTAATAATGTTGGGTAGAATATTTCTGAATATCTCTGTGATTGTACTTCCCTCATTTTCCACATTGTGCTGTTGATTTAATGTAGTTTAGTCAAATGAGAAGCTCCAAATAAGCATATTGCTCCCTGAACAAGTTGAGGCATGGAAGTCCAAATTGCTGCTCACAGCTTTTTATCTCTTTGCAAATAGCCAAACCACCCACACTAGGGTAACACAGAGAACAACAGAGTCTATTCAGTTCTATTCCTGAGGATTTTTTTAATCAATCTAGATTTTTTTTTTTGTCTTTTTAATATCATAGGACTTATTAAGGTGACGCCGTTAATTCAGTTCTTTTTAAAAATCATTGGCTATTTACATGTTGACAAGTTGCGAAATGTGAGAACTTAGTGCTAAAAGTTGGTTAGGTGTATGCAGTGTGCTCTTCTGTCTTTCAGATTGCCTTGGGAAAGGAGCAAGATAAACATTTAGGAAAGAATGTCTTATTTATTTTTAAGAATGATTGCAGCTTTCAATGCAAGTGGAACAGGACCTCTCCATCTTTCTCATGCTAAGACTTTCCACGTAGCCAGCCCAGTTTGTGTCCTTGGCTACAGCCTGGGATTCTTCTGCCCAAAACTCCTGTCATCTATATTCTTCAAGTCAGAGCCGAATGGCCTTTTAAAAGTATGTGGTTGCTCATTCAAAAATTGTGGGTGTCATGCTCTGATGTATACCCTGCAGGAAGTCAAACCGGATAATCAAGCAAGTCGTCTTGCTCTGCATGACTCTGTGTAAACTTTTCAAATGAGCCAGTTGTTCTCCCTGGACTTTTTAGGAGGTGATGTCAGTGCAAAGGTTAATAAGAATGTTCATACTAGTTGAAAATGGAAACCCACAAATAACTGAGAATATATTCTTCATAGGCATAGCAAACATGGAATACATAACAGGACATAGGAGATTTCTTCCTAGACTTCTAACAGTAGGAAAAACTCTGAGACTTTTTCTGTAATAGGGTAAAAAATGTGGGAATATTAACCAGTTTGAATAAACTGTTAGGGAATGATGAAAAGATGGGCCTTTCTTCCATCCTTCTGATGTCTACTGGCATAATACTTAACTGAGGAAAAACTCTAGTGCGTGTAACACATATATGAGAGGGAGAGTACATGTGTGTGCATGTTATAGCTCATCTAGTCCATCTTTCTTCAGTGTGATCAAAAAAAAAAAAGGGGGAAATGTGCCCAGCACTGCCCTTCTTGGCAGATATGTGAGCTGCTTTTAAAGGGTGTCTGGAATAACAGTTGTTCAAGAACGAACAGGTATTGTTAAAAGTGAAGTAGAAACCAATGCAAATCATTCAAACGGTAAGGATATTGGTTTAGAACTGGCTGAGTGTTAACAAAGGTGCTCAGGACAAGGCTTTTCCCCGGTCTTTTGCTGTGTTCTCTTAAAGACATGGCTTTCCATTTCATCCAGTGCCATGGGCATCCTCTAAGTCTTGCTGGTGGAGAGGGGTCATAGCATCTCCCTGAACTGCTTTTGGAACCACAAGTGGAGCTGATGTTGAGCTGAAGGAGCAAAGACAGCCAAAAAACTTGGTAGTGCAAATGTGGGTGCTTCTGGCTGTAGTACTCACTTGGCCAGTACAAAAAACAGGTGGAGTTTTTTTGCCAGTCTATTCACTACTGGGAGCAACTAACATCATGTTAGAGATTCCTGTATGGCAAATTGTGGTAAAATGGCTCTTTTACCAGCAACTCTTTCATCTGTAGAGCACAACTGAGAGATGATACCTGTACTTTAGAATATGTTTTTTTGACAAATCTGCATAGCTTCCTTTAAGCCTTAAGGAAAGAACCATCCCTAGCTTACACACCTATCTGCTATGCAGATCTGGATGGGAATGATAAGACCCAGTGTTGTTAACCCTCTAATGTATAGGACTACAATTTCTTATCTCTTTCAGTGTCTTATATGTTACTGGCAGGCTGTTTAATGGTCTCTTAATTTCTGTGTGTGGATGAACTAATTAGCAACACTAAAATATTAAATCACCTTACATTTTCTTATAGTCAAGTCCTCTGAGGGTTCTGAATTTGTCTTCATGCATAAGGCAAAATAATCAAAGAACCAGAGCTTGTTAAATTTGCCTTCATTAACACTGAATTCATTTGCCTAAGTACTCTTACTCCTGCTGAGCTCACTTAAGAATACAATTTCCCTGTCTGATATTTTTTCTT